GCATTGTGACATCACTTTTGATGAGAGCTCTTTGTACAAAGACAACTTTGGTGGGAAATCCGTTGAGAAAGAATCAATTGAAGATGAGCGGGAATTTGTTGAGCTAGATGGTAAGGTTAGAAGTGATAAGGAAGTTGAACAGGTAGAAGTTGAGGTGCAAATTCAACAAGCATCTCCTCAACATGGTGCTCATGTTCCGGTGGATTCGGATTCAAGTGATTCGGATGATGATGATCACTTGGAAACGGATGAGCGAGTAGTTATGGGTGAGCCCGTTGTGGTTCATGGAGAGCCATCTACACCACCAACGGTGAGGAGATCATCAAGAACAATCAAGCCACCACACCGATATTCTCCATCCTTGCATTATTTGTTGTTGACGGATTCCGGTGAGCCGGAATGTTATAAAGAGGCAATGGGCATGGGTGACTCGTTGAAGTGGGAGCAAGCAATGGAAGATGAGATGTCTTCATTGGAGAAAAACAACACTTGGGTGCTGGTTGAGTTGCCTAAGGGCAAGAGAGCACTTTTGTGCAAGTGGATCTTTCGAAAGAAAGAAGAACCGGATGGTACAATTCGGTACAAGGCAAGACTTGTGGTGAAAGGTTTTTCACAAAAGGAGGGTATTGATTATCATGAGATCTTTGCTCCGGTTGTGAAGCTAACCACTATAAGGATCTTGTTGGCTATAGTGGTTTCGGAGGACTTATTTCTTGAGCAAATGGATGTAAAAACCGCGTTTTTTACACGGTGATTTGGAGGAGGAAATCTACATGAAGCAACCAGAAGGGTTTCAAGTTCCGGGTCAAGAGAACTTAGTGTGCAAGCTTAAACGGAGTCTATATGGGTTGAAACAAGCTCCTAGACAATGGTACAAGAAGTTTGACAATTTCATGCTAGGCAATGGTTTCGTGAGAGCGGAAGGTGACCATTGTTGCTACTTTCAAAGGTATGACAATGGCTATATCTACTTGCTTTTGTATGTTGATGATATGTTGATTGCGGGAACTAGTATGGAAATTGTCAATGACTTGAAAAAGAAGTTGTCAAGAAGATTTGAGATGAAAGACTTGGGTGAGGCCAAGCAAATACTTGGCATGAGAATTTCTAGGGATAGCTCAACGGGTGTGTTGAAGTTATCTCAAGAGAAGTATGTCAAGAAGGTGCTTAAAAGATTTAACATGATTGATGCAAAGCCTCGAAGCTCACCTCTTTCAAGTGAGCTCAAGTTGACTAAGGAGGATCGCCCAAAGACAAGGGAAGAGAAGGACAAAATGGTCATTGTTCCTTATGCTTCGGCCGTTGGTAGCATGATGTATGCTATGATTTGCACGAGGCCCGACATTGCTCACGCAGTGGGAGTTGTGAGTAGGTTCATGTCAAATCCGGGTGAGAGACATTGGGAAGCCGTGAAGTGGCTATTGAGGTATTTGTTGGGTACTTCAAGTATGGCTCTTTGCTTTAGGAGAAATGGAGTTGTTTTGGAAGGTTTTGTTGATGCCGATTTTGGAGGATGTTATGATTCAAGCAAAAGCACTTCGGGGTATGTGTATACTATTGGTGGTACGGCCATTAGTTGGATGAGCAAGCTCCAAAAGTGTGTCTCTATGTCTACGACGGAAGCCGAGTATGTGGCTATGTCGGAAGCGGGAAAGGAGATGGAATGGTTGAAGGGTTTCCTTGAAGAAATGGGCATGAAACAAGATGTTTGTGCGTTGTATAGTGATAGCCAAAGTGCGGTTCAATTGGCTAAGAATCCTATGTTTCATTATCGCACTAAACACATCAAGAGGCGTTATCACTATACTAGGAGTTTGGTGAAGGATGGCACGATGTGTTTGAGGAAGATTGCCGGTTCAAAGAATCCGGCGGATATGCTCACTAAAGCTGTTTCTAGTGACAAATTGAGGTTGTGTAGGACCTCAATTGGACTCCATCATTAATTTGAAGGAGTGTTGTGCTATGGTGAAATTGTTTTGATGAATGTATTAAGTGTTCTTGAGGAAGGAGTGTGTATGTGGTAGTCTATGGTGCATGTTTGATCCTATCTCAAAGTGGGAGATTGTTAGGATTAGTGTGGAGATAGATAAATACATGGAGACATAAGGAGATTGCATAGAAGCTGCCTTATTGTTAAGGTTTGACCAAACTTGTGAAAAGTTCGGTCGAACCCGGTTTTAAGTCAGTAGGTGCACCAGTTTACATTTCTAGAGGAGGAGTGACCAAACCCAAGGAGGTTCGACCGAACCACCCCAGGTTCGACCGAACTCTGGGTAGGTTCGGTCGAACCTCCCTGCTCCCTATTTCGTCGCTTCGTTTTCGGCTTGTGCGATTTGCTTTAATCTTAGCCGTTGGATTGTATTTTCTACCTAGACTATATATACCTTTTCTAAGCCTCTTTGTTGATTATTCACAAACATTTAAACACATAGAGAGGTTTTGAGAGGGTTTGTGAGGAGCATTTGAATTCTATACAATTCATGCTTGTAATTCTTGAGTTCATTCATCATCAATATTACTCCATAGTGCAAGGGTGGGTTTTTTCTCCCGGTTCTCGGGTTTTCCCACGGTAACATTGTCTTCCTTTTACTTGCTTTAATTCCTTCAAAGTTGTTCTTGATTGTTATGCTTGTTTGTTCATTGCTATTGTGGGTTGATTGCAAGTTAGTTGAACACTTTAATCCTTACAGGAAGTTGCACCTTTTAGCTCATTATTATTTTTGCTTCTTTTAAACCTTTTCTTTTCTTGGAAGTTCATGATTTATGGGGTTGTAATTGTTGCCTGATTCTGAGTATGATTCAGGTCCTATATTAACAGAAAAACAACACATATAGCTCCCCTTTAGGAAACTAGTAATACTTTAAGTGAAGTAATTTATAATATACTACAAAAAACTCCTTCACAATCTACTAGCTAAAGAACACTCTTACTTAAACTCCCCTTCCTTTCTCCCCAACTTCATACTAAGTTGTCAGAAACTGTGGGCAACCAGGACCAAATGACTGAGTGACCTCCTTACAAAACTTATAAGACATGCTAGGGAGCACCACCTATGTTTTATTAGCTATTTAAGACAGTACTCCCTCCGTCTAGGTGCAATTGTTACGTTGATATGGTAATTCGTATTAGTGTGATGACAACTAAATCTAGACGGAGGTAGTAGTATATATTTCTTAAGCGTTAACTAGCCTTGTAAGGCCCCATGCTGTATTGCTGTGTAGGCAACTCCAGTTCTTAAAGGCCTTTCTGAAGCACCATGTTGAAAAACTGAATGATTCAGAGCTGGTCAGGCCAGAGGAATGCTCCTATAGCAAACTTCCTCTTCGTGTCAAGGGAATCCTTGACGTGATGACCAAGACCATACTGATTTAACAGCATGTCCACCTTCCATTCCTCCATATTCTCATAGTCCGCCTTTTTGTATCGTGGGTAATGGAGAGGCATTTGGAAGGTGCTAACACCATTCTCTTTGGCCTGTAAGTTAACTTTCTCGACAGTTAGGCCTTCTTGTTTCTGATCAGGTGTGTGTACTAGTGTGTGAGTGAAGACAGAATTTAAGAGCCACTTCAAAGCCATACTTTGAGAAAGGAGGGAAATTTAGGGGATTTGTGATTTTAGAATGTGTGTTTTAAACCAAAGAAGATGAGGAAAGTGTCCCTTTTTTATAATGAACTATGATAGATTGCTTATACGCATCAAAATCTATTGATACTAATTTATATGATATTATATTTTTGGAGTGAAAATGAATGAAAACAGTTTCCTATTTTTATTGCTGAACTTGTGTTGTAAGAAATATCATTTGTAAGGGCATTAAGGTTGCCAGCAAGTTAGAGCATTGCATTATTAGAAACTGATTGCAGTTTTAATTGACACTTGTGATATACAGTCACTAATTTGATTAGTTCACTAAATAGAATAACATAACCATTTGATTTTTCAAGTCCTTCCAAATATTTATTGATGGTCTTTTTTATTCTTTCTTTATGTGTTTGTATTCAGGGCATGATTGGATTGCTGGTTTTTGTTCGCGTCAAGATTTACAACTCTTGTATAATATGTTATCCTCTTCTTCCGCCTGGAACTAATTGTCAAACAGTACTGTTGTGAAATCTAAACTGGTAACGTGACAACTTTTTTTATTAGATTAACTATGTACCTCGTATAAAGTACTCCGCAAATTCTCAGCACCGTGGAGCATTTGAACCATGGCCTATGAGCATAATTTTTCAGGAAAGTAACAAACGAAAGGCTTTGTGTTGGCATTGTAACAGAACTGGCCACATTGCACGTGTGATCGTGAGTATTAGGCTTCAAATAATTTCTCTTATTTTGGCCCTTGGTAGGAAAATTATTAGAGAATTTTGTATGAATATGCTATACTATACAAGCAAACAAAAGGCAAATAGTACCATTATTTGCTTGGTTTTATCTAAAAATTAAAAGAATGTCATGTGTAAATCAAGAATACTGTAACAAATGATTTTATGTTTGTCCAAATTAGCTTGATTAATTTGTCTTTTACGTTTGACGATGACCTATCATTGGTTAATTGCTTGTAAGTTGAAACAATCAATTCATGATTTAGTGCAGAAAATACGGCACCCAAAAAACAATCAATATGGTCTTTAAATGTGCTCAGTAGGGTCTAGGAACCCAAAGTTTCGAATTGGAAATCACCTGGTAATTTTGAGGGTTCACATATTCGATATTTATTTGGGAGAAGAGAGCGATATTTCAATTGCATAATTAAGAAAACGATATAATTTCATGGGACCGTTCAATCATCCTACATAATAGTGTAATATATATACCATTATACCTCCTTTTGAGTTAATCAAATAGCGAAATTTAAACTGTAATGAGGTGGACTTCTACAAAGAAGTGAACATACATTCTTCATGTTTTAATTTTATAGTGATTGTGCCCCTCATCCTCTCTTCAACTTTTTAGTTCACGTCAATTTAAAAGGAACCACATAACATGACAGGAAGAGGAATTCACAACACATACTGTATTCTATAACATACCCCTGTTAATTTTGACAAACCAAACGAATCAAAGGGTGCACGCAATAGTTCTGTTTTTCTTTCTTCTTTTGATGTCAAAAAAACATGAGCACAAACCTTGCAAAACCGCGTAGTCTTGCACCCGCTACTCATCTTTGCATTATATGACAATAGTGCCTAAAGTAGAATTGCTAAAAACTATACAATATCTGAAGTTTAAGACAACGTTACAGGCATTGATGGATAGTGACTTACAATCTGTAACAGTTCTTTGTGCATGAGAACTTCTCGAGACTTGCTTTTTGTAAACTTTTCCCATCAGCAGGTTGGAACTCATATACAGCATAGTGTCAGGGTGAATTTGAAATTTATCCATGGAAAAGCTGTTAAAACATTGCTGAGTGAGCCAGAATATCCATTCAATATCTTTAATAGAAGGATATGGTGTAGACAATCTTCCGTCTATGATGTCTTTCAAAAGCAGCAATGATCTCATCTATCTTATCTTCCCAGGAATCAATTGCATCAATCTGCATCATTTTCACATATTAATAAGAAGCTGTATGCTGGTATAACAATATAAGCATAAGCATATACTATCGGTTGTGCTTTTTCAAAAATAACACATTTTGAACAGAGTTTTATTTTCAATGGGATGTACTTCGTATATTTGTCAATGTTTCAATTCAATTCAATTTTCCTTTGAATAATTCCTTTAAGAGAAAAGCTTGAAGTAAGGAAGGTAATGAATAGGGAGAAAAATGTCCCAATGCTTACATAAATACAGTATATATCCTCCGATGGGAAGACTAAATTTAACTTACAAAAAATATGATCATGGCTTCACCACTTGCAAGCCACGACATGAAAAAACCGAATTTCCTGGAAAATGATATTCCCCAAAAACAAACACAGCCATAATTTCCAACAAAAACATCAATTTAACTTTCATCCTATAGTAATTTATTGCAAATTTGCAACTGACAGTCTGTCTCAATAATATTCTTCTCCCTTACCCCAATTTAACTTTCAAATCATTGGAATCGTGTTTAGGTACCATAGAAAGCCCTATGTCCAAGCGACTGGAAGAACGAGAAACTCAAATTGAAAAATGCTACTACAAATGGCTAACACAAAATGGATGTGGAGTAGCACCAAGTAGAAAGCAAAAAAGTAATCAATCAGTGGCAACACTAACAATAATTCAATCTTCATTCTGCAACACCCCCCCCCCCATCTCCCCTTCCCCTCTCATGAAAAAAAAATAATAAAATTATACTATCTCCTTTTCATATTATGTGCAACAAAGGTTTTGACACAGAATCCTAGGCAAAATTTGTTTTTGAGTGTTAAATGGAGAGAGAGAGAGAAAGTGAGTGAGAGAGAGAGAGAGATGCATGTGATGGGGAGAGAGATAGAGATAAATGACAAGTTTAAAAGGAAAGAAAACACATTAGTTGCACATAATGTAGCAGCCATTTATTTAAATGTTGCACATAATATGAAACGGAGGTAGTAATAGAAGGAAAGATAAGCTTTAGTGGTAAGAGTAGAGATACTAATTACTAATAAAAGAGCAGAGCAACAGTGCATACCTCTTGGCATAGATCGAGTGTAAGGCGACCACCAATAGCCGCCTCCTCATGATTATCTTTTACCTCAAGGTTGATGATAGCAACAGGTTTCATAAGTACATGGTCACGGTTGTAAAGATCTGTCCAACAATAAATACTTCATGAATTCTTCTCAGTTTCCATACTCTAAGAGTATAACCAAACATGACTTGACTGATGGAAAGTAGGCAAGAGCTTGAAACTTAAAAGTAGTGAATGAAAATCATCCCCAAGCAAAAGAAGCCAATAATATGTGATGAAAGACACTACGAAGGAAATCAAGGAATGACAAGAAGACCATTTTGTATCTCTTATAATCATATCTTTTCCAGCTAAAAGCAATTGATCAGAAGCAAGTACAGGATATTCACTCTTTGATACAGAATTCTCAGCCAATTATTAGATAATCGGGTACTTTCAGGCGTTTCAGCAACAGCCTCTCTGATAGCTTTTGATTTTTTGGGGTAAGTTACTTACTTATAGACCTCCTTAGATCTCATTTATACAGAGATCATTCTGGCTGGTGGTTTTATTAAAAGGTTAAAACTTAATTTAAACAACCAATTGATCTCTCTAGCCTAATGAACAAACTTCAGTATTTTAGTCATCCATACGACTAAAGAATAGCAATTATGATATCTGGTTATGATTTTATGAAGCATAGTAGTGCTAGAGACGCTCCTAGACCTCCAGTGGTGATCACTTACGCAAGGAAGAAGCATGGCAAGGGCAGTAAAACCAACTAATGATGCAGGGGAGTCATTAGTGTTCATAATTCTGTTAGAGGAGTTTGTTATGGAGAGAGAAGAATCTGTTAGCAAGTTAAGTGTATGTAAGGGAGGGAATTCTGTTGTAACAATTATGCTAAAAATATTGTTAAGCTTTTGCTTAGTTGGAGAGCTCCTTTCCTCTCGAATGAAAGGGTGTATAGAGAAGATTACACTGATCAAATCAATGCAAACTACCCCCCCCCCCTCTTTCCTCTATTTGCTGTAACTTAGCTTAATTCTGCTTGTGAGATAACTGATTCCCAGCAAGTAGTTTCAATATTCATTCAAAATTTGCTATGATTCTGAGATAAATTTGTGTTAACTGGAAGAATGGAAATTGATTGAAATATATTACTCTATTCAACTCAAAATGGCTACAGAGTCTGTTTTCCGTTCTCATATCTTGCTTATATACATCAACAAAAAGTACTTAAAGTGGATTCAGGGACTTACAAGCTTGTAAACACCATAATTGTTTTCATCATGATAAGAGAATTGCTTAATGCACATATTCCTAAAAAATATAGAGATATACCTAAATGGCATCGCAGTTATACGGATTTCTGAAAAAGTATAAATGATCTGAAATCTTTCAAAGAACGGGTGTTAAGTCAGTCCCCACCAGATAGGGAGTATATATATTGGTTGAGCTATCATGGCCCATGATACTAGATCACGTAGAGCTTAAATATAGTGCGAGTATGTTATTTGACATTATCATGAGGCATTTCTAGAGTGCCATCATTTCATGTTAAACATCTCACTAACTCCATAAATTCTTATGGAAATCAATTTAAGGTGATACACATGCAACTCAAACAAAGAAAACATCAGTCCTCCTTAGAGCAATATCCAAAACAAAAAATTCATATGGAAATATAAAAGAAAATACAAAACAAATTAAAAAATTAAAAAGGAACAAATGATTAAGTTCAAAGAAGATTGAGATCATTACGCTTTCTTCCAAATTATTTTATTTATACCATTATCTGAATATGTAATTAGACAGGAACCACAAGAAAGCACCTAGAGAGCATCCAAATAGCTTACCTTCAACAACCATGTCAAAGACCTTTTCTTCAAATGTAAACACCACATCAAATGCACCATCATGTGCATTATCTTGCCAGCGTTGAGGAGCAAGCTTGACAGCTGAATTCCGCTTCAGCATTGGCAATATGCCATTACGCTTGTACATAAGCAACTGTTAAGGTCAACCAACTCAAAATAATACTAGAACATTAAGGAAAAAAGTGGCAAACTCAACTTAAAAGATTCGGTTTCAAACTCAACTACACAAAGTACAAACTAACTCAGAAGTCATAGGCTAATAAAGAGTCGCTCAGTAGTATAAACTATAGAGATATGCTCAAGCATGATACCCCTGCCCTATCGGAGACAATAATGTCATCATGAAACTGAATGAGACAGTACTTTACAATAGCTGTCACCTTAGTTTCTCAGTCCAATTTCTAAGCTACATTTCATTGCAATTCTCCAATATCTATGACTTCAACTCCATGGAAATCTAAGATGCAGCCTACCATTCCTATTTTTAGAGCTCTATCAAGAAAACAACTGCCCTAGGGGAAAAGATAAAGATCGATCATAGAATGGCTGGCTTATGAATTACTATTGGCACCAGAAGTATTTTACACGATAATAGTTAAAAAGGCCTAATGTCTCGAAAACAAGCACAGAGTTCAAAATGCATGAAAGAGTGATACACCACAATCGGAAACCAAAAAAGCTCCAATTGCATCCTGTATCCATCAAACAACTCCAAAAATCAACTATACTCATTAAACATAATATAATGAGCAAGAACATACACAATTGATCTTTTGACATCCATTCAACTATCCTTGAATATATAATGATATCATTGACCTGATATAATGCATTCAAACTACCAAAATTCAAGAACAATCTACAACAATAATCAGAACGCATTTCAAATGTTTTAAAAATTGAAGAACCTATTAATGGAAGGATACAATTCGGGGTCTTTTCGACGAAGCTCCTCAAACATTTGCTTATAAGGAGTACCAAACTCATAAACATTAGGTTTACTTTGTGAGGGTCCAGGAAGCTTAACATGGGCACCAGTACCATAAGATGAGACATCAAACCCTTGTTTTTTTAACAAATTATGAGCCTCCATGCTTCTGTTCTGATTTGAAGAACACACCATTGCATATTTCCATTTCATTTTTTTCCCTTTTTCCGGCAAAACCCAACTGGGTTACTTTCAATTAATTGGGTTTTTGTTTATCTGGAACAAGAATTGAACTTTACAATCAAATTATTTTAATGCAGGAATCTATAAAATTATTACCCAAAGAAAGAAACTAGATAATTGATTGTTCTATTACAAAAAAAATTACAATGAAAAAAAAAAGCAAAAGATACCAGAAATTTCAAAAGAAGTACAAGATTAGGTAGACAAAATTGCAATTATACAGGATGAAAGCTAAGAACAGGAAAGAGAGAGAAAGAGTTTTGAGTACCTTAATGCTGAAACAGACTACCGGCGCCGGCGGTGGTGCCGAGAAGAAGATGGCGGAGAGACACTAAAGTGTTGCGATTTTCTTTTGGAGAGATTTTCTGTCGGATTCTTTAACATTACAGGCATAAGGGCTGGCTACGGGCCAAGCCTTGAGAGATGGCAATAGCCAATAAGTTGGGCAAGGCCGCGGTGTTGCAAGGCACGGCCGCACAAGGTAAGCACGACACGACATGTTATTATGTGTGTCAAGTCTAAGTTATTTCTGTTTTGGAAAATATCTTATATGATAAAGTAATTAAAAATAGATTAAATTTCGCTTAATCAAGACAAGACTTAAACATGATGACAACACACAAGAGGGCTTTGGCAAGTCCAAAATCGCTTGATTGAAAATTCCGACACGAAATCACATATAGTTGGTACTTTGTAGACTTGGGCAATGGATCGGACCTAGCTAGGCCAAAGAAACAACCTGCGACCATTTTAAGCCAAGCAAACCAAACTCTTATATAGTTATATTGCTTACTTTGATTAGATTGAATTGAATTTTGCTCATGTGGTTGATCCCACTTTGATGTCATATATGTTTCCCTTTTGCGTAAAAAAGATTAAATTGAATTTGAATTCTCTCAAACTTTAAAACTGTGTGTGAACTTGGTTTGACAAGATTAATGTGAATATATCTTTTGGAAATTATTTATATATTTATTTTTTTAGTTACAAGCACCTCACTTAGTCACTTTTATTCTCTAGGAAAGATATATACTAATTAATGTGGTTATGTTGTCAAAATTAATTTTTAGTTTAGTGTAAAAGTCTAAATATTGCATATATTCACAATCAGAAAAAAAAATCTATAAAGACGGAATTAACAAAATCTCCTTTCCAAATGACTTTTTTTTTTTTTTTTTTTTTTTTTTTTGTAGATATAAAATGTAAATTCTACATGTTGTAATATTTATGGAACAAAATAAAAACACAAGTACAAACAATCTATTTCTAGTATAGTACACCATCGTGAATATCACATTATATAGACTAATCTATATTTATGGAAAGGGTATAAATAGTATCTTTATTTATGTTAAAGTAATTAACAAATCAATCAACCTATTAAACTCAGCAAAATGCTTAACACAAACCGACTTATTTCATTCAGCTTCTATAATATATAGTACTCTATATATACTATACCTCTTTCCATAAGATACATTTTCCAAATTAAATAAAATTCACCCTCAAAAATTCATCAAAAAAATACAAAGAAAAACATGGAAGAAATACTAGCATCATTATCAATCGACAAGAAAAACAATAACTCATGCCAACATTCGGCATTCATCAACAATTCATGCGCATGTTGCAAGAAAACCAAGAACAAATGCGATAATCCCACCACTATACAACTCCGTTACATTGATCCTAAACTCTCACTCACCCTCGAGGCCATTCGTCGTGTTCGAGACCGTGATCTCGAAACCTTACTTAAACACAAGAAGCTTCACTTAATTCGATTAATCAGTATTTGTTAAAAGATTGTCAATTAAGTGATTTTTTGGGATCGAGTAAGGGTTCGTTCGGCAGAAATGTAGGTTTTCTTGGTGATTTTGGATGTATGGTTTTCGGTATTTTTCATACATTCAATTTATTGTTTAGTAATTTATTTTTCTTGGTGATTTATTGGATGTATGGTGATTTTTTTTTTTAAATTTTTTTGCTAGAGGTCTGGATGTATAAGATTAAATATATCATTTCCTTTCGACTTAATAAATTATATCTATCTTTCCCATATCATGTGTTTCTTTTTTCCTGTTCCTCTTTATCTCCGAAAATTTGCTAGGAGTCTGTGTTTTCGCAAATAATGCATCTTAAAAAAAAGGAAAGTATATGATTAATACTCCTCTGTTCTATAATAAACAACCACTAATATATATAAGTAAGCATAAAAAGTTAATAGTACTAAACTTCACATACATATTTATTTAAAAACAAATTGGGCAATACTAATTGCTTTTCATACCTTACTTAAAAGTTATAGTCAAAGTTCAATCCGTATGTGAAATGTGAATAATAGTTTAATAACTAGTTTAGTCTCGTGCGTTGCACGAATTAAATAGTTATATTTTGTTTAAAATAGTTGTTAATATTCTTTATTTAAAAAATAGTGTAATCATAATTTCATTAATTTATTTTGAAAGAAGTATTGTAATTATTTAATCATGAAAATTTGAAGGAAAAAAAAAGAATGATGTCAAAAATAATTTAGGCGGGAAAAATTTTCATAGAAAGTTGACATATGTCCCTTAATAATGCCAACATGTTTTGTTTTAGTAATAGTTAATAGATTACTATTCTCCATATTTCATATTTATTGACAGAATCAAATTTAGTAATGTCAAGTTTGACTACTAATATATATTACTTTCAATTTTATTTTATTTTTTATTTGTAACAATTGAGCTGATTATTCTATAGAAAATATATTTATTTTTGAGTGTCAAATGAAGTAGGAAATATAAGGATGCATGTAGAAAAGAGAAAAAGACGATCGATATCTTGAAAACGAAATATAACATTTGTGGTATCTTATATGTAATATGTGTAACTTTCTTTAAAAGAAACAAAAATAATATTTCTTTTTTACTCTTGCAGAGACAGAAAAAGCTTTATATCCCAACCACTAAACCACAGCCATTTCAATGTAATTATTTGTAAGTGTAATTATTTTATACCATTTTACAGTATATGAAATTGGGACAACTGTCCCTCCCTATTCCAATGTGACTCCGCTACTTGTCACTGTAATTTTCAATATTATTATCAATTTATTTATATAAAAGTCTCTATCTAAAAAGATGAAAAGATATTAAAAAGGTAACTCGGGATTCGTTTGACATCGTTGTGGTTTTCTGTTTTTTGGTTTTTGTTTTACAAAATCATATGATATATGTCATATAATGAATCAAAAATTTGTCAAACTTATTAAAGTCCTAATAATTTCGAAAACTGACAAACACTTTTTTGTTGTTTCATGTTTTTGGTTTTTGTGTTAAAAAAAAATGAAAACTAAAACATAAACTAGTGCAAAACAAGCCCTTGAATTTTTGTTTTGTTTTTTATTCTTTTTTACGAAAACTTGAATTGAAACAGTATTTCATACGCTTAAAATTAAATACTACCTGAGGTAGTACAATGATTGTGAAATTGTTTAAATGATCTAAAATTGTGCCTTACAACTATTATTGATATATCATTGAAAATGTCGTATGACTTATAACTTCTTTAGATGATATTATCCAGGTATAATTATAACTTTGCCATTATTCACTACCCATGCATCACAAGAGGAATAAGGTTTATAGTAGAGAAGTGTAGTAAAGTGAGGAGAGCCTAATTTATAGAAGGGGAGTTAATTAGTCCAATTATTGCTATTTCACTGAAAAAAAAATATAATTTCTTGAATTAGAAGTAATCAATGTGTGATAATATAATATGGTAAGTTATGATTTTTATAAATAAGTGTGACATCTGGAACATTATGGAAGATACATACTTCATATTAGTTGCTTTAAACTTCTCCAGGCGAAGATCTTAGATTTATATACAAAGTGTACAAATTACTTCAAGAGTTTTCTAGATTAATTTTGTAGCCATTTAATAATTTATGTTGAGCTAAATATTACCAACAAATTAAGTCATGCTTCGTATTATTGATGAATTAATTTGTATTTATTCTATAACTTTTTATCCTAAGATTGGTCATTTATATACTGCATTTAATAATTTGCATTTATTGATGAATTAACAACTTTTCTGAATGTGCTGTTTGCTGTCAATAATTACTTGAAATCATTCGCATCTTAAATGATGGATTTGTTGTTTGCTGTCAATAATAACTTGGAGTAATTTATAAGGAGTACATTATAGTATTATACCACTAGATGAATAAGTTGAAATGAAGCAAGCAGTAGTATTGATTTTCAATTTCACATTAATTGTAAAGTTACGACAACGAATTGATTTATGACTAATAAGGTACTAATACCGCGCACGACAATATATTAGGAATTGAAACAACTCACAAGAGTCCTCCATCTAAGAGTTTATTCAGACCCATTTCACATACAAAGTATATGTTTTTGCTAAATTATAGAGTTACCAAAATTAAATCTTAAGTTGATCAGGCCACAAGAAGGTACCCATAACAAAGTTCCTCTTCTCATAAAGGCTACCCTTGACATGATGCTCAAGTCCGTATTGTCTTAGTAACATATCTACACGTCTCTCCTCCATCTTCTCATAATCTTCCTTTGTATACCTCGGATAATGAAGAGGCATTTGAAAACCTTCAGCTATTCCATCGCTCTTAGTATTATAAGGTTTCTCAGTATTTATTGACTTTTTACAATCTTTAAGGTCGTGGTTTGGGTACACAACGGATTGTGTTATGAGGTGAGGCATAGCATAATTGACTACCCAATTCATTGCCACTCTTGAGAAAGAAAGAAGGTGAAATTTTTTGAGAGGAGTGTTTTAAACCAAGTTAGAAGAAAGAAATGACTCTTATTTATAGATGGAGCCATGGAGGTGAGTTGTTACAGTTAATTATTAGGGCATGACTTGCAAACTCCATCACACGATATTTTTCATTTTTTTAACATTATTAAAATAATTGCTTGAAATGCAAGTAATAAATTGTACTCGTATGATATTTATTAAATTATTATAATAATATAAAAATAATAATTGTATATATTATGGTCGAAGTTATAAGTGTGACAGCTAGAGTTATGAGAGATGGAAATTATTGAGTGTTGGAAACTTATTACTCAGGCTGTTTTATGTTTGTCAATTGTGACATAAAAATGTGTAAAAATTAATTTAAATTGACGTTTGCGTGTGAATACTCGTGACAACTTTTATGTTCATACTTGAAAGTTGAAATGGTGTGATTGTGTAAAGATATTTCAAGTGATTCTTCTAGATTCTTCTGTGTTTCCCATGCTTGTTGGCCAATTTACTAGTTATGGAAGATTGGAAGTAGTTGCAAGTTTTGAACATCCTTTAAACGCCAACCGTACGTATTTGCATATCGTGGCACGCGAATGTTAGGCTAAAAAAAAGGGTCAATGTCGGTTTCAATAAAATAATTTATCATCATACTTAGGGCATTATTAA